TCTGTTTAACATATGTTAATGAAGGCGTGTCAGGGGAGGTGTCTTACCTGCGCTCAGTTCCACATTAACTGTGATGTACAAAAGCAATGTGCGTTGATTCAGGCGTACGAACAGTTTGATACATCTGGATTTTTTTGTGCGTACMCCGTTTTCTGGATTTGACCGTACGTCAMMTTTCAGTAAGAAATCCACGCAAGTCTTTGTACATGAGGACCTGGTCTCACAAAATTTTCTAGAGAAAGATTTCTACATGACAGGATCAAGGTATTTATCTCCATCTTCTAAAAAACATGTGTCAAACTCAAGGCCTGTTGGTCAAATGTGGCCCACTATGGCATTTTACTGTGGCCCATGAAAGCTACAAAGATGTATTAAACTATTAATATTTTAAAACTAGAAGCACTTGGAGAGTGTAAACCTCCACCAAGACCAATTTCCCCCATCCTGCAATGGAGTTAATGCGCAAAAGCAGAGATGGAAACACATTTGCTGAATAAGTTGTGATGTAGTGAACATTTAAACAGGCAGAATGCACGGGATTTCTTCCTGGTGGAGTCCAAAGTGAAAAAAAAGTCAGACTCGTCACCCGACGTTATTCATCATCAAACTGGTGTCGGATTAAGCTTCTAAGTTTTCATCAGTCACATTTCACCGTGTAAAACATCTGTTTTTATCCCCTTTTATGAGTTTGTAATGGTTTGACTCTCTTTATAAAGTGCTTCCTGGTACCGTCGGCTCATGAAGTGAGTGGGTTTTTTTTTTTTTTTGAAGCGAGTGATTGAAGCAAAATACAGCATGTGAGCACTTTCAGCACAAACACTCCCACGAACTTCAGAGCAATCACATAATAAAGTTCTTGTGTGGAGGGGGTACCAGGTTGATCAGCTGTTCCCGTGGACAGTCCAGCTTCAGCTGCAGCAGGAGCCTCCTCCCGCTGTCGCTGTCCTGTTATTCCCGTAACGTGAAAAGAATCGCATTTCTTTTTGTACGTCTCCAGACAGCAGTAACATCACCAGAAGTAGTTGATAACAGAATAATCAAAACTTACGTGATAGTAGTCTGGGATGTGTAGTCCCATCGAGTTAGCGAGTTGTACTTCCTGTTTCCTACAGGCATGCGTCTGACGTAATGACACTGCGTAGCCCTACTGATTRGCTCGAATTAAAAGAAAAAAAATCCTGTATCCGCATCGTGATCTGGAACATCACCAAAATTTAATGGTGTGTTCCTTGGGCCGGTACTCACAAGTGGTAAAAATGTCATGACAATATGTCCACACGTTTTTGAGTAATTTTGTCCACAGACAGAACAGAACGACAGACAGACAGACAGACATACGCGACCAAAAACATTACCTCCTCCCCTTGGCGGAGGTAATAAGCTGCAATAAGAGCATTGACCATAAACTACATCTCACATAAATTCTCCATATAAAATCTCCATTTTGTTGCCAGCTACTTTTGTAGCCCAGTTGTACTAGGAAGTGGGAATTTCCCACTTACAAGTCGTAAATTTAATCTGGAACTCCTCTCCAGTGGAAATTCCCTGTCAGAAAGTGAGAGAGTTCAGAATTCAAGATGATGGCTACTTTTTGTCTGAGTTCTACTTGACCAAGTTCTACTTCTGCCATACTCTGCAAATAAATAAATA